ATTCACAGGAATATTTTAATATATTACAAAATGCCTGACGCAAATATACACAGATACCATATGTGGTGGCCCTGATAGGAAAGGGGCCGGAGGACGAGGTATTTATTTTCCAATTTGAGATAAAGAATGTTTGGTGGAGGCTATGGGCGCCTTAATGTGCGATAGCGTCGCCCGACGTTTCCCCCGGTCAGCCCTTCAGATGTGATTTTGGTGCACAAACATGCGCTTCATATTGCATGCGGAGCGGCTGGATCAGACGAGGTGTTAGAGGTGTTAAGAGGCCGATCACGTGTGTGTGTGTGTGTGTGTCAGGACGCATGAATCTCAGGGTTCACTCTCGGCCACGCGGCACGAAGGCTTGCGGGATTCTCAAGTGCGATATTCACCTCGACTTGGAATCAATCCATATTGTGCATTGTGCATAACGCGCCCCCGTTGCTCCGAATCGTGCTCATTGAGAACGAAGTGGAAGTTTTCCCTCGCTGACTTCGAATGACTGAAAGCTACACTAAAAACAAAAAGTCTATACTCGAGCTAATAGATTTGTGACCTTTTCCGTAAATCTCAGTGAGCGATCCTCAGATGGCCGTTCACGCGACCATCGCTCGTGGTTTTTCACTTCGTGGTGTCATAAAAACACCAGAGGAGGTGACACAGGCCTCGTCTGAGCCCAACGTGCGTAGTCATGCGTGTTGTCATCAGCATGCGAGCTCACAACAACACCAGATTCCACACGTCTTCGCTTTCATGCAGCCACGAAGATCGTCACAGATCGTCACAATGAGGAAAAACCCCACAAACCACAGGTTTTCTTTGACTCAAGGTTACAGGTTACATGAGACTCTTCTTCAGTGTGCCTCCAAGTTCATTTGCTTTATTTACCAATCACCTCCCTCGGGGATGCGCGCTCATCCTCACCTTCCTGTTATTGTTCGGGGCTGTCAATCATGACATCAGCGAAGCGACACTATGAAACGCGATGTACTACGCGTCCTTGTAGAATCCGAGCGGCAAAGACCTCATGCTCATCTGTAAATAACGAACAATTGCGTTCTTCTTGACCTGACTGGGCTTTTAGCAAAAGTAAATCTCGCGTTACAAGAGCTTTTCCATCACATCACGAATGGTCTGAGCGGCGTCCCGGCAGCAGCGGGAGGGTGGGGGCGGGGTTGAGGGGGGGGGGGGGCGAGCTCTCGTCAACGGTTCGACGACTCAGAATCGATGGAAAGCGTCGCGCTCGGTGAACATGAGTGCGCAGCGTGCCGTGGATTATCACATTTCATTGGTTTATTGAGCTGCCTATTCTCAAGTTTAATGTTTTCAGTTACCGCCTGGTCGGGCTCAGAGCCGCTGACAGGTAGGGGGGCGAGCGGGCGAGCGGGGGGGGGGGGGGGTGCATATAAGGCCTCCATAATGGAGGTGAACTGGGCGAGCGATACCCACTTGGCGCACTCAGAGACTCCCTCCATCTGCACTCACGCTCGGCCGTGCACAGACACCCGGTGGGCCTGCAGGGATTGAAGTGTGGGGGGGGGGTGGGAGCACTGCGGCACTGCCTCCCAAAAAGGCAAGGTCACCTTAAGTGAATTGGGATGAGGGGTGGGGATGAGGGGTGGGGGGGGGCGAAGCAATTCCCTCAGGACGAAAACAGGGGCAACTCGTGAAAAAGTAATTAAGCAGGATGCACATCAGTGGATTCCACAGGCGGAGAAAGCGCGGGGAGGGATGAAGAAGCCTTTGGGTGGGAGGGGGGGTGGTGCATTTTATCTTGGAAATCTGGGAGATTTGCTAAATGCGCAGAATGGGAACGTGTCCAAACTTTTATCTGCTTTTTATAAAAAAACTAAATATTTCACATTTTGCCTTAAAAGGGGTCGGCTTCATTGTTGTTAACTGAACCTCTGAGAAAAATGTAATTCAAAAAATGATGTGGATTTACCTAAATTAGCCTGAAGTGCAGATCAATGTGAATACAATTCATTCCAAGTTGAGTAGGTTTTAGCTAAATTAAGGGGGGCTTAATGTGAACGTCGTCATAACAGGAGGAAACCTCTTAGAGGGGGGCGGGGCTACCTTGTGATCGGTCCTCCTCAGTCCATATATGGTCACTTCCAGTCAGCAAATACAAAAAAACAAGATGGGCTAAACGCCGAGCTCAAGGCTTCAGATGGTCAGTCCACAAATAAATTAACTAATGAGTTGATGATGAGTACTTGTGCAGTGTTTAATTCATTTTTCAACAATTCGTAAGGCTTCGTTTCAGCCACTGAAACCTCTCTGCCAACCTCAAGGAAACCTCTCGGTTACAGGAATCAGGGGGTTTGTGGAGAAAATAATCCCTTTCTTCCCCCGAATCAGGCGAGATGTGAATCTCAAGTATCTCAACCGCTTTTTGATCACAGCCAACTCATTCCGCTTCGGGAGCACCGTTCCGTTTGAACGTGTCCTCTGAGACTGAGCGCTCGCCTCGCGTCAGAATGTGGTCCGGAGGTTCTCCACAGGCGGTCCAACGCGGAGGACTGACCATCTGACCATCAGGCCGCCGGCGGACCCCACGGAGCTCGTCACAAAGCGCCAGCGAGAACGTCGACGACGGCACTCGGCGGCTTCTGGCTTCTGTCGCACGTTGGAATCCGCACTCTTTTGTTTCCACAAACAATAAAGTGTGACACTCGCAGTGGAGCCGGAGGTGCAAAGCGCTCGCTCACGGGCGTCACAAGGAAGGAATCATTGCGAGCGCTTTGTTTGTCTTAAATGCAAATAAAGAGCAGCGGGAACGAGCAGCTACTCAAAGCTTTTTCTTGTGCCACGGTGTGAAAATACCCTTTTACAAATCCAGGTCATGAATTACAATATTTAATCAACAAATGTCAGAAGTAAAAGGCACTTCTGCATCAAATTAAAGTGCTGATTTATTCAGTTTAGTCTGGTTTTACTGAGCGGGAGAGATTAGGGAAGAAACGCAGGAGCGGCTTAAGATAGAAGTTATCGGACGTGTAAAGTATTTCAAAGACTTGAAGGGAGGAATAAAAAAATATGTAAAGATGGAAGAAGAAATATACAGAATCCTGAGAAATTACCACAAAACTCCACTTTGAGACGTTTGCTCAGTCGTCCAGTTTCTTGCTCTTCACATAAAAGCAGCGTGATGAACATCGAGTGTGTGTGCGTGTGTGTGTGTGTGTGTGTGTGCGCGTGGGGGCCAGCTGTTAAAGTGCGGCCCCTGACAGGACCTCGGCTGTGAAGTGGCGCCCGTGAGGCCTCGTAGGTGCCGCGTACGTTCAGCAGAGGCTCGCTGCCTCAGGCCCCTTTGTGAAGTATTCGTCTTTGCTCGAGAAGATTCAAACACCCCTTTAGTCCTCGCGAATACGTTTCATAACCCAAATCTCTCTCATCTATCAAGCAAGTCACAGAATGGATTTTTTTTTTTTTGAACGTGTTAATTCAGTTCAGTTTAATACTTGAGATGAATCCAGCGAATCTTCAGCGTGTGATCCTCATTTTTCTTCAGGGTTGAGTCATTTTAACATGTCACCAGCAGCAAATGTCAGTAAATTCATCACCGACAGCAGAGCGGTTATTTTTGGGAAGATTTGCCTCAAACTGTCTGTGAGGACCACTTTACAACTTAAAATCCCAACAAATAGTTCATTATTCAACATTAATTATACCATTAAACTGGCTACAAACGTTCCATCCTATTGAATAATATAATTATAAGTCTTCTGCAAATAACCAATGGAGAACTTATTTGGAGTCTTGAGGTGGATTTGTGTAGTTTTGGTGCTTTCGAAGGTTATAGAATATATTTGCATTGAATAAATGTGAATGTAACTCAACGTCTGATTTCTTGGTCCGTTTGAGCTGCTTTTGTTCATTTAGATTCAATGTGCTGGCAGAGATTATCAACGGTTCAAAACAAGTGAAGAAAGTTGAAGAAAAGCTCTTCACTTTTTCACCAACACTAAAACATTTTTTATGCTCTAACGGGCCCATTTTCCACTGAAAAGCTCTTGCCGCTGTAAATCCCAGAAACTGTAGCATAAAGCTGTCAGGTTACAATCATCGGTTCAAGAAAATACACCTCTTGAGGAGAAAGACGTCTGGCGGAGGCTTCTCTGGTTATTTATGTCACAGCTGCAACACTACTTTAACTTCACAAACCAAAGCTCTTCAGGAGCCCAACATATTGGACCTGAAACAAAAACTCTATTTATTAGAGTAGGCTGAAAAACTCTTATTTACTATTTATGGCTTCATTTTTTCAATTGCAGATGGACGGTGAGTCGTTGACGTTCTAAGTATGACGTTGACAATTATTGATTATTGATAATTTATCAATTATATAGTGCAACTCTGGCCTCACAACATGAACCCTTCGCTTCTTTTCCCTGCATGGAATCAATGTTACATTTTGGACACCTAAATAAGTCCTACGTTCTGCTTCACCCTCTCGTGTCTCTTCTGTACGCAAAAAACAAGATGGCGGCACCCAAAAACCAAGATGGCAACAGCTGAAATGCCAAACCCAAGGCTTCAAACCGACGGGTGACGTCTCAATGACCTCGTCCGTTTCCTGCACACAGGTAACAGTTGTGGATCAGGACTCCGTTGGATCAATCGTGTGAAGACTTTACACACAGAAAGTTGCAGCGGTGTGCAGATATTAGTTAAGCTTAAGCATCATTGGGGAAATCGACATCGAGCTCACACTGTGATCGAGCAAAACCGCCACGGGTGAATAAATCATATCATGTTCACTCGACCAGAAGGAAACTTAAAATCGAAACGCCACTTACCTTGCAGACACCTAAGAAAAGCTGCGCGTGTTCACGTTTGTCCACAAAGACCACGTCGACGTAACTGCGTCGCTTTGGTTCAAACCCGTTTCTCAAACAACCGCCACCGGAAACATTTTGCCTCACAGGAGAAAGAAAGAAATCCTATCTTACGATTACCCAGCCGAGCGACTTCTGAGGGGAAACATCGGTGGAACGTACCGTAGGAGAGGGGGACGTCCATGTCGCCCTGCCAGGACACCTGCCCCGTTTCGTCTATGGAGTGCTGCGCTGTAAAGAAACAAACAACAACAGCAACGGGCCCGCTCGTTTACAGCGCGTTCGCCATTCCGGATTCATTGAAACTCCAAACGAGGACAATGGCCGGCAAATCTACTACTGTGTTCACACCGACTAACTAAGTGTTAGTTTGGACGTGTGGATTCAATCGCAGATAATAAATGTGTGTGTGTGCGTGTGTGTGTGTGACTCTCGCAAGATGTCACTTCAAGCCATTACGTGTTGTCCAACTTCCGCTTTGCAGAAACAAAAGTCACAGTCGCTTCATTGTTTGGCAGGAGGACGACAGCAGGACACAGCGGCTGCGTGAGCGAGATGAACGACGTGCTGGACTTCAGGGGGCTGTGAAGTGGGACGCAGACGACGAGGACGGACTTTACCTTGCAAGTGGCCGCGTCCGAGTGTCACGAACCCGGAGGAGATGAAGTTGTGCATGTCTTGGCCTCCGCCGCGCAGGTTCTCTTTCCCATAGTGGCCTGGTTGGAAAAACAAGAGTGGGAAGTTTTAATAATTCAGCTGTAAGGGTTCTTTGGTGCAAAGTTCACGTCAGGAAGAAGAAGACGCCATTTTTATTTTACACGTACAGGAAATAGTTCTCTGGATTTAACCCGTCCCACACAGTGGGAGCCGGTAAGGGGTCAGGCGTCTCGCTGAGGGACACCTCGGGGTTTGAACCAAGAACCCTGCAGTTCCCGGCGCACCGTCTGAAGTCGTGCGGAGAAACGTATCCTTCTCGAACGGGTGTAACTTGTCAGTCACAATTCACTCAAATTCATCAACTGTGAAACGCTTTGTTGCCAAATTCCATTAAAGGAATGTTCACTTGGGAAAGCCGGTGCCACTGATTCACGCCTCATGCATCGTCTCCATTCGATGGTGTGGAGATGGATTTACTTCACGTCGTTCACAGAAGTCAATCCATCGATCGTTGACCTTAACACTGACAAGTGTTTGTACTCAATTCCCCCGAAATATGTGCCGTTGCATCACAGACCAGCCGTAGATGACGAGAATGCTAAACAGGGCTGAAATGCCACAACCGACAAAACCAGCTCTCAGGTGAAATCATCGGCTCATCAATATCTCTCAAAGGCGCAGTCTGCTCGTTACACCCTCCTCCTCCACCTCCTCCACCTTCTCTGAGGATACCGAGGCTCCTCACGTGTGCACACTTTGGATTTCCCATCTGTTAAAAGTCATTTGTACACAACGCAGCAGACGAGCGGCCGGCTGACACCTCGACGACCTTTAGCCGCCCTGTCAATCACCGCCGCGTCCTGAGAAGGAAAAGGAGGCGTCGAGGAAACGAACACAAGAAGGACAGAAGAGTAGTTGGTCCACCGCACCTCTGCTCTCCCTCCTCCTCCTCCTCCTCCTCTCGCGCTCTACATTAACCGGCGAGCGGTTAAACGCCTCTTTCTCCAAGGGAACCACTTCAAAGTCAATAACATCCCTCAGACCTTTGGGCCTCGGGAAGCCGATATCGAACAGCATTCCAAATTATCATAATGAAAAGAAACACCTGGGACCTTTAGGCCCGGTCTTCATCACAGCAGAGTTAGGCACTCGAGCCCGCCGCGACTCCTTTCTTTCTTTTTATCAAACCCCGGGGGGTATTACATGGTTTACTGATGCACTCTGTTAATGTGGGACCTTGGTAGAAAAATGCCTTGAATATGAGAAAAAAAAATGGAATAAACGTATTTCGCGGCATCTTGTGATTTTTCGGAGCGCGCTGTGGTTGGTACAGCAGAGTATATATCTGTGCGATGTCTCCCAGGGGGACGTGCTGATGATTCATAACCTCCATATGGTCCAAGGACGGCGCGGCGGAGCTGAAATCAAGTACCTGGAGACGCTGACTGCAATATGAATTGCTCCCGTGTGGCAGCGCAAACCTATAGCCCCTTATTATCTCTGGAAATGGTCCTCAACATTGCCGCACCTACACGGCATAGTGAGAACAGACCCTAAGCCCTTCTGCCAGGGAATGAACCTTCTGTTAAAGTTTTAGAAATGAAAGGCAAAGTGTTTGATTTCAGAGATAAAAAAAACTCAAATTGCTGCATAAGCGGAGAATTCAGAGACATATTCTGACCTGGCCTTCAGAGAAAAGTGAACAGTTATCTAATTAGAGGCTCTAAGTGTGCACATTTCCGCACACCAGTTCATGCCATTCTTCTGTTAAATGTGGGTTATTCCAAGTAAATTTACTGTCTTCTTATGGTCTACTAACTCAAATTTAAACCTCATTTCGTGGTCTTCGTTGGAAGACGGGATTGTTGTTTATAACAACTATCAGACGGACCAATCCGGAGCATTCACCAGACTTCCAAGGAAACATTTCAGATTTCAGAAACAGGTTTTTTTTTAAATGGCTCGATCACATGTTTGCAATGAGTCACTTGAGACAAAGTGGTCTTTTAACTTGGTGGAAACATTTTGGGGAAGTTCGATTCCTTTTTCAATACAAAACTGCATTCATGAGGGCCATAAAGACATGGCTCTCACAGACCTCAGCATTCAAACGCAACGTTTGCGTGCCGTTCCACCACGAACGAGTCTGTAAACGGGACGAAGAACGAGACGTCATCCTTTCAAAATATCGTCCCGAAGTTTGTCTCATTTAATAGCCAGTCAACTTCTGCAGGGTTTTAAACCCCCGATGGAGCCGAGCCGCTGTGAGTGCTCTGCGCTGATGAGTCCGTTCTGTCTGCAGAGTGGGCACGATGCTTGTCGGGTGATTTTCACAGCGGCGTAAAAACCTTAGAGCAGAAATAAAGAGAGAACAGGACTACGGAAAATGAAGTGATATTGCCCACTCAAGGACTGGAGAAGTTCCATAGACGGCCAAAGACGCTCTTCGCCGGCATCTCATCTCGCTTTAATAACTCTGCTGGAACATTGAGTGGAAAAAGTTCACCTCACACAAGGCTGATGTTTTCGATATTAACTCCAGATATCCACCATTGCGTTGCCATTAGCTTTATTGCACGCCCCCTTGTTTTTTGGAATAAAGGCCATAAAAATGTTCTCTTTGTTGAATTCTTATTTTACGGACACTTTTTTTAATACTTGGGGTATAAAAAGGCGGGAATGAAAAGGATATAGAGGAAATAAGAGGGAATAAAGCTACACACTATATAAGACAGCGTCTGACGGCACCATTATACTGGTGCTATATCAAAAAAAACCTTCAAATCCATCATTATTCTTCTCACCCATTAGCTGTGGTCTGTGACCCATGAGATGGTTTCAGACTGACTGCTCCTGTCTCCCCTCATAAAGGCCATCTTACACACATGGTGAAGAGCTGTTTCCAGCAAATATAAACCCTTTTAGTGACCTCAAATCAATGGAAAAGTAGATACTGAAGGTGTGAAACCTTGAATTAACGTCGATGTTTGCAATAAGTCATCCTAGTCACCCTGTGCTCGGCAGCTTCAAGGTGTCGCTTAGAAGAAGAAGCCATCTACCATTTTTGTTTGGACAGAATCCTTTCAATTGTTAACACAAGGCTTTTATTGCCCCATATCCCGAGGGCCGTGTTATATTGGTTCATGGAGTCACTTGCACAGCTCGATAAATTAGTAGAGTTCCATGAACTGCTCACGTAAGCAGTCCAGTATCAAATAAACTGTACAAAAACTGGATACTGAACAATAAACAGGGATGCATCTCCATTCTTCTTATTTAAGAATAAACCATGTTATAAAAACAGACGTCATCTGCATAGAGTAATTATAACGGCTGCTTCAAGCAGCATTTTGTTTTCCATATCATTTGTTTTCTTTTCTTTTATTACCAACCTTCAATCTTCAACCTAAACTGCTGCCAACAGTAACCGGACCCTCAAACCGCCATTTAAATGGGTGAAAACATGACAAAATGTTAAAAACTGCCCTCGTTCTTCAACAAATTCGGACCTAAGAAATAAGATGTTAAACTTCACCAGACGCCCACATGCACATGAGAACAGGGATGTATTTGCCTGCTGTACATGAACGGCTTTAACAATATCCAGAGGCAGCCTTAAAATGATAATGAGCTTTCAACATTTCCACACTGAAATCCACATCACTGTCACATGAATTTGTCATGAATCTGAGTCACGTCCTCCCTGGAGAGCCTCCATCCCTCTTTGGACACCCACCCTTCAAAAGCACTCACCCGAACAGTGTCACGTCCGCTCGCGCAGCCAACAATGGCATGCTGATACGACAATGAAGACATCTTTTCTGTGGGCGCCTCATACTAAATAACAATGCGGGGCTTTGTGAATCACCGATTTCTGCTTACACTCAAGGCACTGTAATGAGCAATATATCACGCCTAAAGAATTGCATCGCACAGAAATTCGCACCAGGTCAGATAACTGTTAGCGAAAATCTAAATGGGCAAATGGGGTGAGTTTTGAATAAAAACTGTGTATACCCCATATCTCCTCAGATACGTGCTCTACATTCAGACACTTGCTGCTGCTGTTATGATAATAATAATAATATAATACCATTAAACTGCATAGACACGTTACAGCTCCACACTGGACAAATAAACTTCTAGAATGTCTTTTATGTGGTGGAGAGACACTAAGGCTCACCTACAGCACCAAGCATTACTATCATCCTATTTCATAACGTGCTTTACTGGCGCATGCAGAAAGTGGAAATTACTTAAATTAACACCGACTTAAAGTAGTCGGTGGACCGGCAGGTGTAGGACCGGGTGCAGTGGCCCATTTGCCGGGTTGATAATCCCTTCTTGGTGGTTGTTCAGCCTTGATGGTTTTCCTTCTCTGCAACCATCACAGATTTGACTTCTTCTCCTTATTGCAAAGAAACTCTCTTGATTCGTTGACTTAAATCCCATAAATACTATATGTCGGAGGCTAAGTCATTGGGTGTGAAAGAGGCAAAACTGACCTTAACCTTGATGAATATATAGTGGTTTGTTTAAGTCTAAAACATCAGTGGTGAGATTTATTAATAGAGAGTAGCAAAGGCAGAACGATGGATATGATACAAACGGATGATTATTTAACTCCTTGGAGACCAAGCGTGGAGCAATCTACCCGTCTTTGGTAACACGAGAACGTAGACAAAGGCTGCAGTTCAGCACAGTCTGTACCAGCTCTCCTCTGACTCGTTCCATCCATGTTGGATGGTGGTGGTGGTGGTGGTGGTGGAGGGAGGGGTGGAGGCATGGTGACACCAGAGTGAAACACAACACTGTTGAATCTGGGACAGCGTACTAGGGCACTTAGCAAACGAGCTGATCCCTGGAGCCGGGATCTGGAGACCGGCCGGATGAGAGCAGGAGGCGCGGTGTGACAGAATTATCTCTGGACAGAAAAGGGCTTGAGTCGCTCGCAGAAGATGATGATAATTTGCATCTGAATTTTGGGCCAATGCTGAGTAGGCTTATGGGAACCGCAGCGTGAGAAGCAAGAGCCTTGCATTGAATTCTCTACATATTTCCTTATGGAAATAGAACGATTGAGGGGAAAAAAGCTTAAGATTTGAGGTCCATCTATTTCAGCGGATGTCAATCAAAGAATGTAGTGGCTGATTAAGGGATGCGAAGGGGTCTTTCTTTACGTTGCTTAAGCTCTAACCTCGTAATAACATAAAGTTGGAATTTTTTTAATGCACTTGGAGTGAAAGCCTCCCACACGCACTGTCGCCTACCGTGGTTTGGCGGCTTGGTGTGAACCGGCGTGTAATGGTTCTTCGAGGTTCTGACCGGCGTCTCGTCTTTGGCCGATCCATCAATCGCTGCAACGTTTTCATGCTCATACTGAGATATTGGAACCGGTCCTTGTTGCCTCAGAATGTCGGCCAGGGCTCTGGAAAGAAATCACACAGATGGAAAAAAAAAAAGAGCAATTACAACCTTTTTTCTTTTTTTCCTTTTCTCCTAGTAATCCCCCCGGAAGGTCTTCCTAATTTATTTAGCTACAGCTCCAATCCGAATCATTGAGGCACGGGGGCAAAGCAGAAAGGAAATCCTAATTACACCCACGGTCATAAGGGGGTTAAGATTTTCAATAGTGCGGAACACGAGGTACAGACAAGTCCTATTAGGCTTGCCGGACTCGGGCTCAAGGCAGAGTTACGAGGAGTGAGAAGTCAGTGTCTCTTCTTTGAGGTCAATAAACAAAAGCAACATCTCACCAACACCATTTCCAACCTTCAGAGGCAGAGTGTCAGCTGGTGAGACGGAGGGCCGACGCCGCGGTTTTTTCCTTAAAGGAAATAAAAGGGCAATTTAACTGTGTCAACGTCGAGCTAAAGCAACCACGAATTCTACTTTTCCACCAGCCAGTGACTTTGGGAGATGTAAAGCGTATTAATAGCGTTTCCCTTCCAGGACACTTTAGCCGTTTCTGTTTCGCAGACAGAGGCGACCTGATTTTGCATTGTCCTAGTTGGGTGCGATGTCATGTGCAGCACGAGCCACAATAGTTTGCAGAAAAGGCCAGACTTTTTATTGAGAAAGATGCACATTTTCCCCAGGAAGCAAAACCCAAATAGTTCAAGTGACTTTTGATTGATTTCAAATCAGATGATGGCCGCTGGAGCATTTGTCAGCGATGCTGTGACAGGCAGTTCATCTGAACAGAGCCAGATCCATATTGCGTTTTTGGGGTTTGTACTACTGTCAATATAGGAGAGTTTAGAAACAATGTCACACTATACAATATAACTGGTTTTTTTTTACACACTTTCATATCCTAAAACCACTTTTCCTGAGGCGGAAAAACAAAGTGGGAACGCCAAAGTTTAACTGATCTACAGAGAAACACACAGTTCTGTCCTCTGAGATGTATGAACATAACAGTGTTAAAATGGTGCCAGTAAACAGTCCACTGCAGCAAGTGGATTAATCGCCTCTGAAAAAAAGAAATTCTCCCTGTTTGTTTAACATTTGCTAAGAAATTACCCAGCTATTCTAGAAAAAACTAACATACATTATTTTTAATAAGATTTTAAAGATTTAGATCTCCTGTGGGAACCTATGCGATCAGGTCTCAGGGTGGGGGGTTTGGAAATAGACTTATTGTGGGTTTGGTTCTTTCCTTGTGATTTGTGTATTGCACCGAGAGCTGAAAAGCCAGCTCTATCATTCCAAGATAAGGCCAACACAGTGATCCATCTCCTTTTATCCTTCTCTTGTGGGCAAACGATTCACTCTGACTCTAGAGCCTATCTTTGGCATGAATACGCAAGCTGTTACAATTTATCATCCATCATTTTTTGCTGATTCTATTCTCTGATAAGCTAACAAATTCTGAGGGCCGACTTCTTGTAGAAGCTTTGAGCTGTAATGTCCTTCGGTCACCTGCTGCTGTGTTTTCCCGTTCAGTCGTCTTTCCTTTAGCTACGTTTCCCGGGCTTTTATTTTCACCGCCTACAGCCAACACACGTTGCCTCTCACGTTGGTTCAGCCTTCAGAATGTGATCAATACAGCCTGTTCAGACCTCTGGCTTTAGCTCTCACTCTGCATTTACGGCGTTTGGTTGAAGGTCACCGTCCGTACAGCAAAGGTCTGCCAACAGCTCAGTATTCTGCTCACAGCTTCAGAGGTAGGAGACAGAATTGCATTAGAGAAGCACCCACTTTCTGCAGCAGACCCGTGCCAAATATACAGCTAATCCCATGTTCCACTACTTCTTCTTGGTCAGGGCTGTCGGCGGGAATGTCTGCTGCCAGCCTGCGTGGTCTGTTCCAGCAGACGTCATTACGCCCGCACTGTGGGCAAGATGGTCAGTGAAAATAAATAAATCATTAAAAGAAAAAAATAAGCAACGCCATCGAGCCGTGTCTGCTCATTCGATCGACCTTTCTCTCTCCCCCCTCTCGTGGCTCCTGCTCTCACTGGAGTGGCGGCATTAAGCAGATCCACTTGAAAGGACGCCCCGCGGCGAGGAGACGCGAACTTCGCCGTCTCTTGGTTTTTTTTTCCGCGAGCGGAGATGGAGAAAGTGCTGCGTCATGAGCCGTGTTGTTCTTTTCTGTGGTTTCAAATGAAATACTGTACCGTAGAGTCTCATGAGTCCATCTGGATATTAAAAAGCTGACTGTGCCAACCTTTTGCGAGAGACACTTAGCGCAATCACTGGAGCTTAAATTTAATCTACAACAGACCTCCTTTGTCGTCAGAGTCAGGGCTACATTTTTTTTTCTTCTTTTTGTCAAAAAGAACTTTCCCTGCTTCTCAGAAGGCTGACATTTTGAAAGCAGCGGGTGACCATGGGATAACGGTGCTTAATTATCTTCATAATGCTTCGTTGATGCAATACGTCCTCTCCTCTGCTCGGACCAGCATGGCCTCTGCTTAATGGCAGGAGACTCCGGGATAAGAGCAATGACTAAGTGATTTTTTTCCTAAATCAGTAGGTGGCAAACATGCCATTGAGTCAGGATCCAACCCCAATTAAAAACCCATTTGTACTTTTTAAATAGATTTTCGACACCAGAGTTGGTGAACATCCCAGCATGCATCACTTTAAATAGTAGCCTGGGTGTTCTTATTGCCTGTATGCCATTGAGACAGCGGAATGTCTTTGAAAAGTGGAAGGAAACCCGAGTTTAGAAGCCTTTGCACACAATAGAATAACCTAAACTCTATTCCAGATGTTGACCATCAACAAATGTTTATTTGTGTTGTTGATTAATCATCTGTAGTACAGAGCTCCCCAATACAGCTCAATCTGACGCCTGTCAATTGCTTTTTTTCATTGGTGAGCAGTCTGATAACAGCAAGATATTCAGCTTAATAAAGAAAGACAGGAAAATCCTAAATTATTTGGGAGGCGGATAATTAGATTGGTGGTACGTTTGACCGCAAATCAACTATCAAAATATTTTTTGAAAAACTGTAACCAATTTATAGTTAAATCATTTCAGCTTAACATTCAGGATTCTTCCTCTTCTGAATGAAAAAAATGCATATGTTCCATTTTTCTTTTTCTACTGATTTAAAGTGGGCGGGGCTCAGTGGGAAAATGATGATGTCACACACTGCGTCAATCTGAATTTTACCACGCTCTCCTCATAAATACAAAATGGGATTGTTTGCTTATGTCACGTCGATAGCCAGGTGGTCCGAAAAAATATCTAACTTCATCAAGAAAAAAAACTAAATGATATATAGCTTGAGTCAAAATATACCCATAATTTGGTCATTTCAGTGGTTGAGGGGGCACCAAAGGAGAGATAGTGTAAATGTATTGAGACAAACCAAAATCAACGAGGCACTTGGTTGTATATATGTGTTAGCATGCTAATCAATGCGTATGTATATTCTCTTTGACATGCGGTTTTATGTTGCCTTAACGCTCATCGAGCAGTTCTGGGACCCCTGCTGGGACCTTGAGGATTTAAGAATATAGTCACTGTAGAAGAGACCACTCCCACCAGGATGATGATGATGCCTTTCAGTGGCATTTACTTTTACTCCTCTGGGGTTGAACGCACACAGAATATCACCCACTCCCCCATGTGTGCCATGCAGAGGTATACAATCTTGACATTTCTTTTGAAAGGGGAGCTCTGGGGAGGAGTGTAATGGCACGGTGTTAAAGGTCATCGGCTTGTTTGAAACTGAGATATTGAGGCTTCTAAGCAGGCCGCTGTGAGTCAGTAAAGTCGCGTCGTTGTGGTTTTACAGACCCACAAAAGGGCCAACCAGCAAATACATTCATTGATACGTGACAGTATTTCTATACACCAGTCTGACTTACAGAAAACTGATGAATTCAACATTCAGCAATACTGTCCGCCACTTAAAGGCACAGTTCACCCCAAAACCTAAATCTCTCTAAGCGTTTTTCAAAATAAAATTCATTGCGTTGCCTAGTTTTGAACATATCAGCCAGAAAATCCACCGTGCCACTTTTGTAACATGTAGACTTTGTCTCAGCCAATCATGACCCGGGTACTCAAGACCATCCACAAACTGTTTCATCTAAACTGCTCTCATGTGGGGTGAACTGTCCCTTCAAGGCTTATTGGTACTCTGTGCCATACACACCCAACGTGGGTGATACCTTTTCAGCCTTTTCATCATCTAAGGATACAGGACAGACATACCTGTGCACGTTCATTTCCTGAGGGGGCTTGGTGGCTTTATCGTAGGCAACTTTAACAGAAATCCCAATGGTGATGACGAGCGCCACGACCCCGCAGGTGATGTACACCGTGGTGTTGGTCTGGTCCAGTTCCGGGTCGTACGTGTCACCCGTCGGCGCCGGTGACGGCGGCTGGGTTCTGATCCAGTCCGGTGTTTCGATGTTGAAGCAGGTCTTCTGCTCCAGCCGCTTCCCCCGGTCCGCGCAGCAGAAGCGCAGGAAGCAGCTGCCGCAGCAGAAGCGGTGGTCGGTGTTGTTGCAGCTGAACTCCATGTCGTACTGCCCGCTCACGTCGTAGTAGCCCAGGCAGGTGTCGTGCTGGAACCTGGGAGCCTGCACCTGCGTGATCTTCCGCGGGAAGACCGCGGCCGGCGGAACGGCGGTGGTGCTGCCGTTGACCTCCTTCACCTTTGGGTTCCTCCTCTGCGGGGCTTTGGTCTTTTTGTTGGGGTTGGCGGCGGCGCACAGGACATTCAGCGGGTCTAAGTAAATCAAAAGAAGCAGAAGGTGCTTTATCCCCATCATTTGAGGACGCGCTGGTGTTTGTTCTTCCGTCTGCTCTTCCCCTCTCAGCGTCACTCTTCCGCTTCTTTCCGCGTGGTGCTTCTTGAGGGCTTCTTCATCGCAGGTGGGCTACTGCGCTTTGCGTGCCAGGCTCTCAGTGGCGGACTCTGACTGGCGGGTGTTGCGCTCATCGGACACGCAAAGCATCTTCCGACCGTGCCGTCGTCCAGCGTGAATCGTGCTTTCGTATGGAAGTTCTGCTTTGGTCAAAATGTCTCGTTTAATTTCGTCTGCGGAGACGAAGTGAAGACGCGATGTTCTCCAGGGAGATCTTCACCGCGCGTACGATCGAAGCTCGTTGTCACGCTGTAGTGAAGAGAGGCAGGGGCGTTTAGTCGGTTGAGCCCAAAGATCCACGAGGGACCTTATTAATAAGCGGATTTGATAAATCAATAATTGGGGGAAAAAACAGGTTTTTAAACCCGCGAACACTTTCAGCACCACGGACAGCGCCCAAGTTTCCATTTGGATGTTTGGCGCACTTCAGCACCGAGAAGTGAAAACGGTTCAACGTTTTTCCAAAATAATTTCACATTGAACTTAACAACGAGTCATTTATCTCCAAAACAGAGAAAACTTAATTGCTGACGGATGACAGAATGCCGCCCTGGAGGTATTTGTTTTGCCTTCATTCTACTTTCTTTTATCCGACTTGAGGAAGCGGAGCTTTAACTTCTATATAAGACAGATTTCTTTTCCAAAGGGAGAGAGAAGATGAGCAGCACTTACCTGGTGAACGGTGACCGGTAACCGGGATGTCTCAGCCACTGAATCAAAGAGCCTCAGCGAGACAAGAGGCAAGACCTCTCCCTCCTCTCCGGCCCGCCCCCCTCTCCCTCCCTCTCTCTCTCTCTCTCTCTCTCTCTCTATCTGCCCCCCCGCCCCCACCTCTCACACGTCACCGGTACCTTAGTTAATTATCAATCGGCATCACCCCTCCGCTTTAGTCATATGTGTCAAGGCTTCAGTGGGGTTGGTGTTTTGAGGGGGGGGGGGGGGGGGGTCCCTAAGGGGGGGGGGGGCAAAAAAAAAAAAGTGTAAAATGTTTTTAAGAAGAGAGAGCCGGTGGTGGGGGACCTTTACACCTCAAGGGCGCCAACAAATGGGACCCCTTACAAAAAACCCCCCTGTGTATGTGTGTGTGTGTGTGTGTGTGTGTGTGTGTGTGTGTGTGTGTGTGTGTGTGTGTGTGTGTGTGTGTGTGTGCTCAGGGAAATGTGAAAACCTGCCTGAGCCGGTTTACTAGAATTATTAAGTGCTGAGAAGAAGGTGGGAAATGTGTAACTCTCATAACTTTTTTCTGACTGGCTTTATTATTATTAATTGAGAGCTTGTTACTGAGTCAAACCTCATCAATTAATACTGTATTTTTACTTCAATGTACAAATATTAACTTTATCCTCCTGATGTTCTATTGGCAGCAAAGTAAAACCTTTTAGATTTTATTTTCAGAATTTGGACTTTCAACTTAATTCTTAGCCCTTCATTTAATTTATAACATAATCGTATCAGTTACTTCCATACTGCAAAAATCCCTCCACGCAAAGGCATTACAAGGAGATTATTATTATTATTGAAAAGTTCCAGCATTTTAATCCTCATTTTGATCGAGGTTTAATCGTATTCACAAATGTGTTTGAATCTGGTAAATCTGGTGGTGCCAGATGGTGAAAACGACCACATTAAAACACCCCGGACAGGTAATTTGACTACGAAATGGAAACCATATCAAATTGACTTTCAAATACTTTGCTGTCATTGCCTCATCTCCACTGTCCTCATTCAATCACTTATTACCCAGCGTGTCAAAGCTCATCCATCTGGTGTCCAGACTGAAACTCCTGCCAGGATGTATTTGTCCGCGCCGGCTGGAGTGCAGTGTGATGCTGTTTGGCCGAGGTCTGCATCACCTTTATAGCAGAGGGGTTCCATGAAGCACCAGAAGGAGAAGTCACTCTGCGACGTTTAACTGCATGAAAGTTATTACTCTGATAACTGTAAAAATAATCACATACTGCTCGAAACAATTTTTGCTGGCCCGATTACGTGAGAAAGGAGATGTAGCACCTGTTGAGCTCAGTCGAGAGGCAGAGGGCACGTCATTGGCTGAGAGAACAATCTTTATCGCTGTTCGACAGCTTAACATATTCATATTCTCACAGTTTCCCCCTCCGGAGCTTTACAGGTGGTAAAAACATATTTTTTCCAATTCCCCACTGTCTGAAAGTATGAAATGTATTCAGCTTTATCTTGTTTCAGCTCCTCGTGGAAGCTGCATGATGTTTACAACAGGGGAATAAAAGCAGGGGTCCATGGTTTTTCTTTGGCTTTCTGACACCGGGAATGTTATAGATGTTTTGTGCAAAAGTTTCATGGAAGCTTTGTTATATAAGTCTAAACAACGTTAGGACTGAAAGCAGTGTGTGTATACAGGTTCTTCCTCTTTTGTTTACCAAGATGTATCCTGTTTCTAAAAAAGACAGACGTGATGTCTGATGATGAAGACCACGAACAATTTCCTTTATCACACAAATGAAGTTCCACACCTGCGTGACGGATGGTTTCATTCATGCTAACGTGTGGTGAAACGCTCAGAAAAAGTAATTCTGCATTTTATGAGTAATGACGGCTGACAATGGGGGGGGCGGCGATAATGGCGACAATCTCGACGACAGCAGTGACGACAATGATCAATCATATAGATGATGAATAAATTAGGGGAGAAGAAAAGGGGAGAAAATCAGCTCGATGATGCTTTTTTTCATTTATCTCTCTTGTTCTTGGAAAATACTGGATTTATTTCCCGCGGTCTCTTATGGCGTTTAATATGTACGCTTTGATGAGGGGGATTGATGTTGTGTATTTCTGTGACTCAACACACGAACCCACACGTCATTTCCATTCCGACGAGACGTGAAAAAGACACACAAAGCAGGATATCCGAAGTGTCTGTTTTATTCTCTTGTTGTTCTTGTTTGCGTTCCATTGTGTTGACCTGAACACGCACCAACCCGGCAGGTCGTTCCACCACGTTAACCATGTGACACCAGGCTGCTTCCCTCATCGTAACCCTGGAAACCACACGGAGCCGCCATGCTCGCGGGTGGATTCAAAAGTCATTTCAACGATGGATCCCGGCTGATTTATACTTTTACTTCTGGACTCGCTCTTCATCACGCGCTGCTAATTCCACATCCGGGAGACGAAAGGAAGTGGACTCTAATTGCCCGGCCGTACTTTACAGCAGTCATGCGACCCACTCGAGCGGGCCTGGGAAATAAAGTGTGATCAACTCGGCGGCGCCGCTGACAGCGCCGAACAGATAATTTGACAGGGAGACACGAAAAAGGGCAAAGAGCTTTTGATGAATGTCTTTCCACACTGGACGCTCCGGAAGTCAGCGTTTGCAAATTGGCCCCTCCGATCCTCCGCCAGTCCAAATGGCACATGGGACGGCACGTCGAGCACAAAGGAAAGAGCGATTGTCCATTAGCGTTTAAACCGCTGCGAGCGCACAAAGCCGGCCTCAGCAGAAAGGCGCTGACAGGTAACGGCTGGGTCGACATTGGCGGAGGAGTAATGAGGCCGTGTTTTGACAGAAGAGTGAAGAGACGAATGACGCGGGGAGATCCCGGGATCCCGACACCGCGAAACAATCGCACGGGGAAAGTAACACGGCACTTTGCGCTCGCCGCGGGAAGCCTCGCAGAAGCATTCTGCCTTGTAATTGTCAGCTTGATTAGCATCACGCATGTTTGCCCCACATCCTGCCTCTAGCACCCAGTCGCTCCACATTTTCTCTTTCAATCAGGGATCTCATGTGGGTCTTGATTTGGCTTCGCTCAGAGCACCAACCAAAATGTCTGCCCCAGTTCCGGCGCAGAGGGGAATTGCTTCTCTTCTGACACCGGCCCTGTTTCGAGGGTCCGCTCCGTCGCCTCCGTTAACGAGCCAGGCAGCTCAGCGCCCGGTGCAAAGTGAATCTCAAGACCTTTTTGGTGCGCGCGTGTGTCCCTAGAGGGCCGGCGCCGCTCGCATTAACCTTGTAGGCGTCTGGCGCTCGATACCGGGCTCGTTGACTTAAAGTGGGACCATTTAAATCTTAACACACGGGCCTGAAGACTTGGCCACGGTTATTCAGTCGTGAGTATTTAACACACGCCATGTCTGCAAAGGTATGAAGAACCCTTAAAGGGGATATTAAGTGGGTGATAAAAACTGTAATTAACTCAGTTGGTATTTAAAAAATCAACAATAAATTGTGTAGAATAGAAAAAATGCTTTTTTTTAGGCTACCAGTCAACTTCCTGCTCTTAATGACAGTGGTGCTTTCGTCCCGCCGCTTCTTATCACCACAAACAGGGACAGACAGATTGTACAAAGGTCTTTCGGATAGCATAAGAGAAACATCCTTGGATTCAAAAACCATTTGGAACTGAAGCTTGTTTGATGGATGTTCCTCTTACTCTCACTCGGTTGGACGGTCGTCATCATCAGCACAAAAACTCTGGAACTTCCCTTTTGAATTCAAACTAAAAGACTCGCTTAGGTTTAGCAAATGTCGTCCTTTAAAAAATAAGCCATATGGAACAGTGAACAGTAAATATATATTTATATATATATATATATATAATACATATTTATATGATCAAACGTTTCACACACGTTTCATTTGTTTCATCATGCGTTTTGATCATTTTCCCAAACTTTTTCTTTTTCTAATGAGTCTCAGGCAGTTATTCCGTTTGCGCCTGAGATCCGTTGAGTCCGCTAGATGATTGATGGTCTTGGCCGTCTTGCAAGCTGCATCTCTTAAAATAAGAGAATCACATAGAATGATGTTTTACTCGTAAAAAAGTTGATTTCTTTGAAGATGTTTTTAAAGGTTTCGGGTAAATCGATTAAAGACTCGGTTGGAGTCATAATGTTTTCAGCTTTATTAGAGGGATTTTTTTAAAGTTCTGCCTTTAACCTTTGATGCTAATAATACCAACCAGCCAAGCTAGTTAGCTTGCTAACATTAGTAGCTTTGTTAAACTACAGTTTGAAAGGTTTACTTAGCTGCATCGAATTGGTTGATTAGGAACTTTAACATGTTAGTTAGCGACAGCTAACGGGAGCTAACAGGCTAAATGAGCTGTTGAACCTGCTAACTCGTATGGGGGCGTGTGATTGGCTGAGAGGTGAGAGGGCGGGGTCAACACTAGTGTCACGAAAAGTACGTAAAGCGCCCGTTAAATATTCAGACGCTACAACGGCTTTTTATTCAGTGGTGAGACGATCGACAGTTTTACCTGCAAAATGTTATTTATTAATTGTAACGAACTATTTCAGTTAATTTCAGTGAAATGCAAAGTGACGACAGGGTGCCGTTGCACTCTGACCGAGCTCATTCAACTCGACCGACTGTCACCAC